TTTTTTAATACAATTGACCCCTGTGACCTTGAATATAATTGAAGGTCATTCATTTGAACAAACTTGGTAGCCCTTCACCCAAGCATGCTACTGGCCAAATATCATCTCCCTGGGCATTTTGGTTATTGAGAAGAAGATGTTTAAAGTTTTTGACATATTTGACCCCTGTGACCTTGAAAATAGGTTAAGGTCATTAATTTTAACAAACTTTGTAGCCCTTTATCCAAGTTTGCTTCTGGCCAAATATCGACACCCTAGGCCTTTCGGTTATTAAGAAGAAGTCGTATAAAGTAAAATATTGACGCCGGACGCCGGACACCGGACGGACGGACGGACGGACGGACGGATGGACGACGGACGCCATGGTATGGCATAAGCTAATAATCTAAGGCAGTCAAGTTTCTCACCTGGAATCAAAATTTTAATTCATCATACCCGTCATACAGAGACATCTTGATATCAACAAGACACGAGCAGTGACATTATTCTGTAGTACCACAAAAATAAATCAACAAGGACCAATATTCTGCCTTAACCCTTTCACCACCGTAGACCATAATGGACTCATCCACATAAATGTATGGAGGAGTCTGCTAAAGTTATCTAGGGGTGAAATCCTGCCTTTTATTCAGATACATGTATGGTGAGTGATACTGGACTTTTTAAGGATAATGGGTTAAAAGAGGTGAATCCACAGTACTTTAGACAGACTTGAGACATCAAATTTGATTATGTATGGCCCATACATAATGGCCTAGAGACTAAAATAATTGTAAAACAAGAGGCCGATGGGCATTAAGGGCCCCTGAAATAAAATGTATTTGCTGTTTTTATTGTTCATGGCAGCAGCATGGTTAAATATTCACAAATCTGCCAGTGCAATAAATTTGAGCAAAGGGCTTGGGTAGAAAGTATACCAGACAGGTTTTATTCTAATATTTCTTCATAAAGCCAATGAAATCACAGCAACCGCATTAAATATGCACAAAAAAGATATCTGGAAACAAAGCTGTAGGTTAACACCAAGAATGGATTTATCACATATAAATGCAACATAAAATCTTTTTCTGTTTCCTGCTTCTCCAGGCATTTTCAATATTTAAACCAGCTGTTTTGTTTAAAACTCAACAACATGAAATTATGCTGTATGAATTCTGAGAACTTGTCTGGCTAAATGTAATACCAGTGTTATTTCACTCCAAAGTATCTCGGTATCAACTGCTTGGGTCCGAGTCGATACATATTGTGGGGATATAGGTTGCATCTCCCAAGGTCTGAACAAGTGGCACAAAGTTTTATTGTAGCTCCAATGAAACGAGTCATCCAAACCAATGATTGCCCTGACAATCTCTCGTCCATTCCGATTCACATATCCAACACCAATCAAAATTACACCGTGAGCAGCTCATGTGCATACAGCCACCTGTTAAGAGATCAAATACACATCATACAGTAAAACTTGTGTTGGAACAGTTTGGAAGTAGAACTGGGGATCATGTTTAACAGAAATGAAGCAAACATTGTAAATACATGTAGGCCAGGCCATGAACTTACTGACCTCAATCTGTTAAATTCTGTGACTACTGTGGTTGGTAAGGGTATCTGGTAATGTTATATGTAGATAGATGTTGTAACCTGGTATATTCTGTG